GGCCCGGACGGCAAGTACGGCGCCGCCAGCCCGCGGGCCAGCCTGGCCGCCTCCTCGCCGGGCCCCGTCGCCGAGCACGGCAAGTTCTCCAGCCCGCGCTCCAGCCTGGGCGGCGCGGCCGCGCTGCCCTACGAGAAGTTCTCCAGCCCCCGCTCCAGCCTGGTGGTGCCCGGGCAGGAGAAGTACGGCAGCCCCCGCGCCAGCCTGGTGCAGTACGACGGCGCCGCCCTCAGCCCCCGCTCCAGCTACGCCAGCACGGCCAGCGACACCAGCAAGCACTCCAGCCCCCGCGCCAGCCTCACCAGCTACGACGGCGGCGGCGGCGGCGGCAGCAAGCCCAGCAGCAACCGCACCAGCGGCATCAGCATGGGCTACGACCAGCGCCACGCCAGCCCCCGCTCCAGCACCGCCAGCCAGTACTCCTGCACCACCAGCCCCCGCTCCAGCTACTCGGACTCCAGGTACGGCCCGCCGGGCAGCGCCGAGCCGGAGGGGGCGGGCGGCGCCGGGCTCGCCCTGGCCAGCCCCCGCTCCAGCCTCTGCGGCCCCGAGGGCCGCGGCGCCGCGCCGGGCGCCGCCGTGGTCAGCCCCCGCTCCAGCATCTCCAGCCAGAGCTCGCGGAGCTCCCGCGGCTCCATGAGCGCCTACCCCGAGCTGCAGCTGCCCTCGCCCCGCTCCTCCCTTCTGGGGCCCGGCCTGCAGGAGGACGGCGCCGTGCCCGAGCTGGGGGACGTCTACCACAAGATCCATGCCCAGTCCCCGCCGCGGCACGACCAGCAGCAGCAGCACCCGGCCGCCGCCCCCGAGCCGGCGCCCCCCTACGCCTACAGCCCGACCAAAGGCTCTGCTTCGGCCCCCAAATTCAAGCTCCCCTACCAGGTGACGCCGTGCCGGGAGAGCGGCCCCAGCCAGGCGGAGAGGCGGCTGGAGGCGCTGACGCTGGAGCTGGAGAAGGAGCTGGAGATGCACATGAAGAAGGAGTACTTCGGTGAGTGAGCCGCCGGGGTGGGCTGCGGCCGGCCGCCGGGCCTGCCCGCAGCCGGGTGGGTTTGGCTGCGGGGAAGGCGAGCGTGCCATGCCCGGGGCTGCTGTGGAGCAGGTACCTGCTGAGGTCCCGTGTCGCCACGAATGCTCTCTGTCTAACTGGTGTCGGAAGTGCTGGCACCGTAGCTCGTTCCCGGTGTTTGATCTCTCTCCTGTCTACTCTGCACGCGGTTTGCCAGGGTGTGCGGTGCTTCCCCGTCCGTGTGCGGATGGGAGACTTGTCCGAGGTGTTACTGAAGCTGTTCGTGCTGTCGGGGCTCACAGTGGCTCTTGTTTGCCTCTCTTCCTCTTGGGCTGCTGAAGCTTCACCAATAACCTCCAGCATCCCAGACGCTGTGGCATTTGCGGTCGTGCTCTCAGGCCTTCTATGATAACTTCTATACGTGACGAGTGTGGCTGGTGAAGCAGTTTTTAGTGCCTTGTTCAATAAAATCTTTGTGCGAGTTCAGAGTGCCTGTGGGAGCCCGGCATTGTTTCTGCCCTGCGAGGCCTCGCAGCGTCTGCTCGGCGTGCAAGGCTGGTGGGGGTCGGTGTCATCCCTGGGGCCGGCGGGGGGCTTGGGGGAGAAGAGAGCCCGCTGTCCTTGCTGAAGCTAAATCAGCCTGTTGGTCATCTGAATTTTTGTTGCTGCTTTATAGAGCAAAAGTAACCTCTTGAAATGAGTGAACACATTTTGTAGTCACACTAGTTAGGATTAAGCTCCCCTGTCTTTCTTACTTTGTGCTGGGGGGAAAAGGCAAAAATGCCTTTGAAAGATGATCCTGGAGCGTGCAAATACTGCCCTGTTTCTCCTGGCTTGGGACTGCAGATGAGCCGGGCAACTGCTGGACCTCCTCTCGGGCAGCCCTCGGAGCTGTTTGTCCAGGGCTGAGGGCTCTCACACAAGAGCTCCTGGCAGAGGAGGGAGAAAGAGGCCTAGGAAGATGAGTAGCTGTGGATGAGCTGGCCCCTATCCGTGGTGTTTGAGGGGACGGTTGTCTCTGTGCCTTTGTGTGCTGCCTGGGCGTGGGGGAGAGGCTCCCTGGCGGTGCGTGATTTCTGACTGACGCAGCGTTGCTGAGGACAGAGACGTGCATTACCTTGGTTGCTGATTTAAACATGAGGATTCAAATTGGTTTTGGCATAGCATTAGTGCGCTCCGCGTGGAAGGGAGGAGTTGCAGGGCTCCTTGCAAGTATCTGCGAGATGCTTGTAGTGAGACAGACCTGGGCTGATAGCAGAGGTAGCTAAGTAAGCCGTATCCTCTCCTACTGGGAAAAACTTTCTGTGAACTGCATGCAGTGGCATGGTTTCTACAAGCTCTTGTCCCCAGACAAAGGAAGCTGAACGCAGTGTTTACTGCCTCCCTCTGTCCCCCGTGGGGCTGATAAGAAAGCTGATGGTTATCCACCGCATCTTTTCTGGGGTCTGGCACCTGGTGTGGTGGTACTTGCCAGCTGAGTGACTCCAGCTGAGGACAATAAGGGTTCACTTCCGAGTATGTGCTGAAGCTGGATAGGAGGGCTTGTTAACACACTAACTGCAGGAAATGTTACCTTCAAAACTTCCGTGGTATGTAGTGAGAGACTGAAAAATAAGAGTTATTCAGACTAAGAAACAAGTTATAGCTGTGCTGAGCCGCTGAGAGGGGTTTCCAGTGGCCAGGGAAGCTGTGTGTGTGATCTGGGACTCCAGGAGCAGACCTGGGGTATCTGTGTTGTGGGTGGGTTTTTCTTATAAATAAAGAATTTGCCTGTTGCAAGTGTCACTACTTGCAGGTATATTCTGTAGTGATGTGTTGCAGCATGCCCTAAACCTTGGCAGATGTGTCCTATGTAGGATCAGCAGTAAGCTTGTGCCTTTATGCCTAGAGAGTGTATGTACCATCTGCTCTGTAGGTATTTGTTGAAGCAGCACAAAGATGTGCTGCTGTGACTTGCACCCTGGAAGCAAATGAAACCCAGAAAAATGAGGTGCTTTAAAAGAGAAAGTTGATTTCTGTTGAGTTGTGGTTCTGATAAATCCTGGTGGGCTCGATCCTGCATTTCTGGTTTAGGTCATCCATGGAGGCAAATGCTGAGCTTCAGTGGAGTGAGCGCATGAGGTGTTGGCAGGAATGACCACAGGCTGATGGGTCAGAGACAAGGAGAGCAAGAGCAGAATTGGGGGGGAGAATGCTATTTAGTTTGACTTACCTGAGAGGGTCTTGAGCAGTGTTGATAAAAAGAAGCAAGGAGGAATGCATTGATCTGTGTAGCAGCTTGTATATGCTACAGCTGAAGTCTTTGCTTATGCATTTGCTCCCTTAATGCTGGTATCTGGCACGCTCCAAAGGCAGTCGTGGGGTGTTCTGTGATGCCCATGAAGAACAGAAGTGTTGAGCCAATAGTCTTAGCAAGGTAGAGGGAACAGAGGAGATGATTTAATGCTCCTTAATTAGATGAGATCAGTTGTCTAGTGAGTAAATGCTTATATGAGGACACTGGTAATTTTACTGTGTTCTGTTCTTGTCCCCCACTGCCTGCCCACTCCTGCCCCCTCCCCCCAAAAAAAAAGGGAGCAGTATGTTACTTTGAAACTGAGGTCAAGTGACTAACCAGTCCTGTTCAGAGGAGGAACAACTCTACCCTGCCTTCGTTCTGTTTGTGGGTCAGTTTGAGTCTTCCTCGAACTGCACTCATGCTGGCAGTCCCTGGCTGCTCTCCCACACCTCACTGCTCTGCTTCAGGAGGAACCTGTAGTCTGGGGCAGATAAATACAGAACGGAGGATGCGTGCAGGGTCTGAATGTTGGAGGCTCTGGGGGAGCCAAGCAGTGGGCAAGCTGGCAGGTCTAGGGTTCTGACAGCCAGCTCTGCCCATGCTGGTGTGAATGGCGCTGAGCAGCACTGTGCTGGGGGCTTTGCTTTACTGCCTCACCTTCTCCCCTTCTCCATCCTCCCCTTTCTTCTGGCAGGCTTCAGTGCCTCTGTAGAGAGAACGAAAACGCCCTTCCGCAGTTGGTTTAATCTGACTGAAGATGACAGTGCCACAAAAGGAGTGCTCTGCATCTGCCCTACCCCCAGTTGCACAGCTGAGAGGTAGCACCCTGCCACTTCAAGTGCTCCCACCAGCATGTTGCAGCCACATGTGCTCACTGATCTTACAGAAGACAAAGTCTGCAGAGAAGGAAGGGGAGAGGGAGGGTTGTTTAGGGCTGGATTGGTGACCTGCTCCAATTCATCCCTGTCGATGAGGTGGCTGGAGCTGACCCAAGGGAGAGGGTGCAGACAGAGGGCTCTGGGAGGCTGAGACTGTTCCTTTGGCAGCAGCCTGCAGTTGGATTGGGTAAAGCTGTGAGAGACTTCATTCCCTTGTAGCTGCTTCGTATGCAACCCCTGCCCAAACTGCTTCATCCTCAACCCTCTGAGACCCCCGTCTGTCCCTTGTCAAGGTGCTGACAGTTTAGTAAATGTGCTTGGTTTAGTGGCAGATGCTGAGAAAAGAGGTAATAAAAAAGTACTTCCACTCACTTTCATAACTGTTCTCAGCTGAGGATTCATATGTGATGAGGTGAATTGTCAAAGTTGTTTCAGGGATGTTTTAAATTGAATGCGCATCCTGAGGTGTCAGCAGGACATTTGTGGGTGTTGGAAATTCATCAGCTGAGGTGCTGTCTTAAATTCTGTTTACTTTGCGGAATTGTTCAGTCTGATGTCTAGGTGTCGAAAAAGACAGTTTAAGGAAGAAACTGGGTTTTGGCATGCCCATCCAAGTTGAGCAGTCCTTGTGGGACTGACTATAAACCTATGGCTTGTCATCTACCAGGCAGGGAAATGTCATCCTGTTGAACAGTCATATTGATTTTGCTGTTGTTTTTGAACAAGATCTCTCTGTATGTCCTGTGGTTCTGCTGGTGTGTTGTCAGAAATGGAAGGAGAGTCGGTGGAGGGGCACAGGCAGCCATCGCATGCTCTTGGCAGCCCCGCTGTGCTGCAGTCGTCACCCAACAAGGGCTGTCTGCCCATCTTGGTCAGGATGGTGGGATCCAGTCCGAGAAGTGACTTAATTGTCTCACCATCTTGAACAAAAGAGGAGATGGAAAAGGCACTATGAGACTACTGAGGTGGGGGGAGTGCGGATCATGTCCTGCCTGTGCAAGGTCTAGAGAGAGACAAGCAAGTCTGCAGTCTTTCTAGCGTCCTTCAACACCCCTGTACACTGCCCTTTGTGAAGGTGCTTTTCCCCATCTCTACACACTGAGTGTCTTCCCTGCCCCTTGCTGCCACCTCACCCCAAATCTCTCACATCTGATATGCAGAATACAGCCAGTTCATACCACATGCGCTACTCCTCAGTGAGAAACAAGCGGTCCTGTCACAGAGAGCTGTCACCTTTCTTGTCTTCCACAGACACCTTTGTTCGACCCTTCTCCGCCCTGAGGTAACAGCCCCTTTCCCAGTCCTCTGTAGGAGGTTTACCAAGTGAAGCAGGGGTTGCTTGATGTCTCAGAATGAGACACAAAGTCTGGATTCTGTTAATAACTGTAGTCATCTGTCTAGCAAAAGATCATTCTTACCCTGGCAAGCAGGCTTAACTTCTGAGAGCTCCTGGATCTTTCCAGGAAGCCGCGCAGTAGTACCAGCACACGTTTTTTGGAGCACCACCAAGAAACGCTGCTGATAGCATCCTGTTGAAAAGCCTTTGGCCTAGTAGGTAGGTAAAGGGAAGAAACAGATCCCTAAACCCATCCAGGCCCTTTCTGCCCTTTATGTACGTAGTCATCCATACAAATCTATTTCTTTGCATCAAGAAATCCTGCTGGCGTGGTAGGATTGGCTTTTGGGCTACAGTGTGTTTGTGTTTCTTTTGTGTGTGCAGGTTGATGTGATAGAAGGGTGTCTATACAAGTGAGATCAAAATTAAGACAGATAACAGTGGTAAGTCCCTAGAAGCTGTATTGCTTAAAGATGAAATTTGAAAATCT